ATTTTTATAAAGCACTTTGGTAAAACAATGAAATGAAAGAAAACAGGCAAAGCAAAGCAGATGGCATGGCAGCATTAAAAGTGCACCGTGTAACTTTTCTGGTAAAGAATGGTCCACCGCTTGCTTGTCTCCATGGAGATATCATTGCTTTGCTTTGAATGTTCTACAGTGTGGCATTCAACATTAACAATCCAACTCCACAGAGATAAGAAGGTGACGCCATCAGCCTAACCTACAGGTTGTACTGATAAGTTGCAGTGACATCACGCAGGGGGTGTTTTACATGTATCCCTGTGTATGTTTATGCGTTACCATGGAGACACAACGCACACATTATTAAACACTGTCAAAGAAGTTTTAAGATAGTCTGAAAACGCAAGAAAAGACACAAAATGGACTTAAACAGCACATTTTCAGGAGCCTGTGATCACAAAAAAAGTTCATGATTGTGTTTAGGTGATTGATTTTCAATAAAAATCAACTGAAAAACCGCAAGCTTATGACAAATTTTATGTACGAGAAACTTGTATAACAGCACAAATCACCTCCCCTGTTGCAATTCCAGCTAAGTCAGTTCTTTATTGTGTTAAAATAAGGCACAGATTAAAGTCTAATAATGCCTCAGACAGAGCAGAGGCTTCAGTCAGCACATAGACTGTATAAAAGAAGTGGACTAAGCGAGTGTGACGTCACCCATAGTGTTCAGCGTCGCTCAAATGAGGAGTGAATCTGGTTCCATATTATGAATAGGATTTTTCTGACTGACAAAATAGCGGAAGAAAATTTAGGATCATGTAGAGAGGGTTATTATGAACATTTTAAGACTAAAATGATGACGCTCACTGCAGCAATTACAGAAAGAGGGGTGACAAAATCCTAATGCAAGTCAATTGGAGCCAGGGTCAGAAGGAGCCGGAAGAGCCTCCTGTCGCACTTCCTATTGAGTCAGCATCACACCCAGGGAATTTTGATACCATCAGCTGCAAAATCCCAATATGTGGAGAGACGACCACGCTTATAATGCTAGGTGTCTCTTTTAGCACTGAAAACACCTATAATTAAATAAATGCAAGTTGATTATTTTAGGGGAAACTTGCAGGCAAAACAATAAGGTCTCCATGGTTACCGGGACCAGAAAAGTTACATAGTGCATCTTTAAATATTAGAGCAGTTAGAAGTGAAGAAAAAAATTAAAAATAAAAAATATCATTAGTTTCATTTGTAAATTTGCTATTATTAAAATTCTACTTACACTCCTAGTTTCTCATGGACATCGTAATGATCCTTCACTTTGTTTTTTGTGTCGACAGTGACATCTACATATTTTGGTGCTTCCTCTTTCTTTTCTTCAAATAAAAAAAAAAAAAAACTGATTATACTTTATACTTTTTTCAGAAATTGGAATGAAATAAAATATTGGCCACTTACTCTCAGTTGCCATGGTGATGCAGTGTGACTGTTGGCTGGGTACACTGACCCCTATAGAGTTAAATGCGCGGACTCTGAAGCGGTACTGTCCTTGTGGCTCCAATCCGGATTTGACCTTATAACATGTGTTTTTACAGTCTGCGGTCACTTCGGTCCAACTCTCGGACTTCTCCTCTCGGAATTCCACGATGTATCCCAGAACAGCCGTGCCGCCGTCGTAGCTCGGGCCGGTCCAGCACAGCACCAGAGAGTTTGAAGTCAGCTTTGATACAACGGGATGGGAGGCAGGAGGGTCTGGCCGGTCTAAGGACAAAATAGAAAATTATTAGCTTTCTGTTAGTTATCAGCCTTAAATAAACTTTACACAATAAGAACTAAAGATTGACCGATATGTTTTTTTCCTTGGGCTATTAAGATACCATTTAGAATCCAGAGAAAAAGATGGCTGATAAACTCTTTTTATGGGCCGATATGTAGGGCCAATTTAGTTTATTTCCACCAAATTCAGTCATCTGTTTGTGTAGTCACATTTTTGCAGTGCCCTTAAAGCGCTGAAGTGCTCAAATAAAGTTTTGTGTGTATTCTTTATGCAGTTGGCTGGCCCAAACAAAATAGCCTGTGTTGGAGATTTAAGGCCGATAGAGCCAATACAGTAAAAAGCACAAATATTCAACAACCAATATCTATCAGTCGATCTCTAATAAGTACAAATGAGAATGCACTATGTAACTTTTCTCGTGGAGGGTCCATAACCTGCTTGTCCCCATAGAGATGTAATGCCTGTGACTACACATTTAACAATAACCTAGACTAAATCAGTCTCCTACAGGTTTACAGTCAAAATTTTATCTCTAGTCAGATCTGACCCAGAAATTGAAGCAAAATTAAAAACTGAACATCTAGAAACTTTGTTATTTGTCCTGTAGTCTGGCAGCCAACTGGAGAAAGTATGCACAACTCATTAAACATATTAAAGGACTTACCAATAACACTAAGAGTTACACTGTGGTGTGCAAAACCCTGTCGGTTCCGTACAACAACAGTGTAGCAGCCCTGGTCTTCTGGACAAGCCTGAGAGATCTCCACACTGCTTTGTGATTCACTACTCCGAAAAGAGATCCTCGTCCCTCCCAACACCACCTGCAAAGAGAAATGAAACATAATACAAGTACTTACTTCCGTCCGAAGTATCAATATTACCACAGCAGCCTCTAGAATAAAGAAGTAAAATGTAACTAGATACATTTCCTCAGCAGTACTTCCCATTTAGGAATTACACATACCATTCAGGTAAAAGTAAATATACTGATAATCTGTGTTGCGTATAAGTAAATATGAAATTGCCAAGGGAGTTATAAGGTTCAGATTTGAATGTAGGTCTAGTAAAGTAAAAGAAAGTAACATTGGCAGACGTTTATCAATAGTAGTAGTAGTGGTAATAGTATTTCAAGTACTAGTAGAAGTAACAGTAGACGTTGCAGTCATGTAACCTAGAAGATTTCAGTAGAAAAAACTGCAACACCAACAATACTAGTACTTTTTCACTTTAAACTCTAATATTTTGGGGACTACTTTCACATGTGCTGCTTATAATAAAGTATCAAACGCTTCTTTATCTGTTACCTTTTCCTTGTTGTAGACCCAGCAGCAGGCCACAGGGACCGAAACACTCTTGAATTCACAGTGTAGTCTGGCTTTCTCACCAATGCGTACCTCCACTTTATCCGGAGCGTTCACAAATTCAACTGGAGGATCTAAAGCACACAATACTTACAGTTTAATATATACACAAAATATTTAAAAGTCACTGGCTTATAACATGCCCTCAAAATCACCTCGAGTCTTGTGAGTGGAACCTGCCAAAGTGGGCGGGGCTATCAGGTGAACCCTGGTAGGTAGATTTAAGAGATTTCTAACCAATCACATTCAAGCAGTCATGTTTGGTTGAGTGAATTAAGCACTTTTTAAGGCCGATACATCACAGTAAAGTACATTAAAATATACATGTATATAAATAAATATACATAAATAGAGATACTGCAAAAATTCAATCATATGTAAGGATTTTTGTGTGACAGAGGTGGGGACTTACAAATCGTGACTTGGACTCGATATTGGACTTGAATCACTATTTTCAGGACTTGAGACTTGACTTGATAAAATGGACTAAGACTTGAGACTCGATTCAGACTTGAGGCCTGTGACTTGAGAAGACTTGAGAAGCACTTTTAAATCTGAATTCTTTCTATTCTGACTGTAATGATTCACACTAAAATCTTGTCAAGACATTTTTAAAAAATCATATAAATAACAAAAATCTAAATTCTATTTGGTACTTTGGTTTAAAGACTGGAAATGACTTGAAGCTCAAAGCAGACGACTTGGACTTGACTTAGACTTATGGGCCAGTGACTCGAGACTTGACTTGTACTTGCTTGTATTTGACTTGGGACTTGACTCGTACTTGAGGTCAAAGACTTGAGACTTACTTGCAAAAATACAACCTGGTCCCACCTCTGTTGTGTGATATCTGAATTAATTTCTGTTCTTCGTGTACATGCTTTTTAACAATCACTTTGACTCTTTTACAGATTATATATGAACAAAAATCCATGTAAATGTATTTTATGCTGGTCAAATCCCTTAAAAATCAGGATTTGTTGCTTTATTCGTACCCGTAGATAAATTTGTTTTGCAGATTTGAGAGGCTGGTCCCACATTTCACATTTCACTCATCCACATTATGAACAAACATGTCTAATAAAACAACAACAAAACAAAATAAAGTTGGGATTTGGTAACGTATTTGCCTTTTTTTAAAAAGGCATACATATTAGTCACCTACTAGCCTCATTTCATACAAAAATATCACAGCTTAGTCCTTTTCTCAGCAGTTTACCATGACAACCAGTGCCACATCATCACTTATGTCCCTCCTGAGCTGACTAATTAACACTAACCATTTAATTTGACCTTTAACAAATCAACAAATCAGCTTCCACTATATTATGTTGTATTGGTAGACATTGTATTGGTAAATTAAAAACCTTACCTTTTGGCTGTTCCACTTTGTGCTTTCTTTCGTCTTTTGTTTGTTGACTATTTCTGGTAGCCTCCACTTTGCTCATGACCTCACTCTTCACCTCATGGTTCCTTCCTGAGTGGATTTCCCTTAATGCTAATTCATAACAAACAAAAGCGTCAGTACACAGACCGGTTTGGTTATAACCAGGACACAACAATGAAACAAATAACTAATAATTTACCTGTTACGTATAAGGCAGCACTACTAGTTTGTCTCCCTGCTGTGTTTTCAACTGTACATGTGTATGAACCAGCATCCGCAAAGGAACAGCTGTATAAAGGCAGAGTCGCGACCCCATTGTGGAAGGAAGTCTTATGTGAATGGAACTTTCTGCCTGCAAAGAAACAATGCAATCTTGACGTTATCTTTAATATAAAACCATCTGAACATTTTTGTTATTATGTCCTTGTTCTAACTCGACAGCTTTGAAAACAAGAGGCCACAGCAACATTATAAAAGTGAAATTTAGAGATTTGTGTTGCGTTACCCAACCAATATTCAAATGATTAAGTCAACAGAGGATATTGAATCTGTCTGCAGGTCTACATTCGGGGCACAAGGCTTCACTGTGTACACAATTGAGGTTATCCAAATATATTACAGTCTCCAGTCTGTAAATATATTGTTTCTGTGGAAGTTTTCCATCAGTACAGTGGTGTAAGGGGATTGGACAGGGGTTGGGGCCACTGCATACACAAACACATTTGTGGTAGCGCTTGGAAAAAACATATTCCATTCCACTGAAATTATTTGTGGTTTATTTGAGTGAAGTAAAAATAGAAACTTAAAACTAAATTTAAAAGGACATAGTTGTACTTGGAACACTGACTGAATCGTATTGTTGTAACGAAAGGTTACGCTCAAAGGAACAAGAGTTTTATATAAAGTGCATATGGCATGTTTTTTGAATTATAGTTATAGTGAGATAGTCAATATTTATCTCATGCCCATGTCCAACCAGGAATTAAAACTATAAAACAGTCAAACTAGAGAAAACTAGGTCACAATTTTAGCAAATCTCTAAAGGGCCTATATTACACTATTTTCTGATCTGGTATAATGTTTCCTCATCAGAAACATATAATAAATTGTGTTTTATTTCATTCACACATATTTAACACACAAACCCTGCACATTTAGGGTGAGTTTTTCTCTCAAACAGAAAATGCTTTGTTCACTAGAATCATTTGGATAATTTTAGCCCTGGAATTGCCCATCTCCACTGAACCAAAGGTAAAAGAAAGCTGTTAACTTCTTGACATCACAAGGTGTAAGAGGGCATTTTAAGCTTTAGAGATGTAGACAGATTAATAATAAAGAGTTACTCAAACATGGGTGAACGAAACAAAACACTAACCTAGGTATATTTTTGTTTGGGTAGCAGCATTATAACATGGCATAAAGCTCAAAAGTGTGCAATAAATAAACATAAATATAATTGTACCAACTATAACTTAGTGAAATGTATAATCCTAACCCTCTCAGATAGCTGGAAAAATGTGTTTATTTCCTGCTCATATGACAAATTAAGTTTAAAAATATGCTCTTGTCTCATTTTCTCCTCTTGTCTCATGTTGTAGTGTTGTAATGTATAGTGTAAATACCAAGTTACACTGCTCAGACACTCACCATTGTGCGTCCAGGAAACCGTCAGAGGAGCACTTCCTGAGATAACTGCTTGAAAAGTGGCATCAGTTCCTTCACACACAACACAGTCCTGCAGCGACTCTTTGAACTCTGGGGCTTCTACTTTGAGAGCTGTGGACAGAGTGGAATTTAAACAGATAAACACCACATCATTCATTTCCACTACACTGCCATTAAGACTATGCATTAACAGATGTTGACCATTGTCCAAGATATCTGTTGAACTTGGCCTTTCTTGTTTTTGTTGAAAAAATATTTTGGGGTTTGCAACATAGTGAACGAGCCAAGTCTAACAGATTGTTCCATTCTTGTCACGTGCAATTTCTAAGAATGAAAACAACTTTGATATTACTTTGGCTTTTAACCCCTTTTAACCATTTTAACTTTAAAGATGAAAGTAGAAGTTGTCAAGAACTTTTACAAATATGACTACTACTGTTGTTTAATATTTTTGGAAGTTTTGATGCTAAGAAAAGTACTTGATACTGACTTTGATACCATAATAATTATACATTTCTCTAGTAGTAACATACAGCTCTGATATAAGTCAAGAACATAAAAATTATTCAGGAAATGCCCAATTTCCAATAAAAGGTCCAATTGTTTTTGTTATTTTCAGTATTGATATAGTTTTAATATTGAGACAAGATATCGTGCCACAAGATCTTGCGAGATTTAATTGTCACCAGACAGAGCACGCGTGAGGAAAATGATCACATGACATTTTCCCCCATGTGTTTACTATTAGCTTGGACAATAAAAAGGGTCATGTTTGCTGAGTTACACCCCTTGACAAGCTGTAGTTCCAAAAAGCAGTGCTACAATGTGAGCAAAAATATTAAATTAAAAAAGTGAGGCTGAAATTGTGAACTGAATTGCACAATTTATTCATTTTATATTATGCCGAAATCGTGTCTTGTCTCATTTTCATGGACCCAATCTCATGTCTTGTCTCGAAGAAGATTTGTCTCATCCCACCCCTATTAGTTCGATAAGTATCTCTTTTTGTGACTTCCCTTAATGCTACAATGTCTAGTTTTACTTTTTCTATTAAAGTATTAAAAACAAGGTAATGTATACATTTTTAAATCATTAACACGTTGCCATGGTACCATTTATCAGACCATCTTTTTCATCTTATTTATAGCTGGATCTCGCCGACTCCGGTCTTTTCACCATATAATCTCCTGTCATTTCAGATCAGTGTTGTGAAGCTAAATCCAGACTTCCATTGGGAATACTGTAGCCTGTGTTGAGCATTCCCACCATGTGCAGTGTTGGAATGTCCATCTACACACACAGCGGGAAGTGGATGGTCACTAGCGGACACAGGAATGTAATTAGCACCATGAATGTGTATGGGAAAGCCTTGGGGCACTGTGACACTATCAATCACTGTGTAACGGTTGGCATTTTAATATTAACATCTGGGGCGCTACTAACCTTAGGCAAAACAAGGAAACCAATTCACTTTGCATGTAACGGGTTTTTAACATAGTAATTGCTGTAAGAGTGGCACACGTTTTCCTCAAAGTAGAAGTAATGTACAGGGTAGAGTAAACATTTACATGATTTGCTCCCAGGGGTCACAGTGGGGTGAGGCATGTGTTAAAATTGGAATACAAATAGTTCTCATGCAATACACAGTAAACAGACAATACAATTAGAAGAAAGGGGATAACATTTCCTAGAGGTACAAATCAGAATGTCATGATTTCTAGAGTCTTGCAGGCTTGAAACAGGCCAAAAGTGTTCCTTCTTGCACTTTGAAATATGATTTACATTATAAAACTAGCCTCACATTCTTTCCAAATGTAAATTGTTTGAGGATAGTTTGTTTGCACCACAGTAAACAAGGTTAAAAGCTTGCCAAATTGCCATAATCAAGCATTTTAAACAGTCTTTTTTGCCTTCTTTCAGTTTGTCACACATTTGTCCAATATGTTCAGCAGCTTTCATTACAGTGTATTAAGCACTGAAAGTTAAAAGTGCACTGTGGAACTTTTCTGGAGAGGATCCACAACCTGTTAGTCTCCACAGAGATGTCAACACTTTAGTTCTATCTTTATTTATTGCTCAAATCTTAAAAAAAACATGAATGATTACTATGAGTAGTGTCACCTTTCCACAAAACCAACTTGTAATTTGTCTTGCAGGTCTCCACACACTCTAGTCACATCTCTACAGAGACAAGCAGGTGACAGACCCTCCACCTGACAAGTTACACAGTACATCTTTAACTAATAAATAAGACTATTACCTGGTGCAGATCCATGCTTCCCTGTTTTGTTCTCTGCCTCCACGCCATTCTCTTTGGCTTTATCCGAACTGAAAAATCCAACTCTAGGTTTTAAGGCCAGTCGGAAAGTGGACACAAACAACTCCTTGGCTCCTTTGTCCATCCTTAAGCACACAGTCACAAATAGCTCAAAGAAGAAATATGTACAATGTGCAACCCATGTGTTATTGCTCCCTGCTTTTCCCTATCTTTGGGACAGTTACAGGAGGGGTTTTTGGAAAGAGACTCCAATTCCCCAGACTACAATAAACAGTACTGAGAAATTCTGTGAAGAACTGAAAGGCTAAAGACCATAGGAATTGAGTGGGAGAGACAAAACACTAGGGAGCAGAGATACAAGAAGATCATTGTTGACTAAACATGAACCAACTAACAGCCCATTAGGAAATATCTGGACAACTGAAGAAATGCCTAAACTCAACCAGTATATGGCTAAAAATGCATAAAATGTCTCAAAAAACTTTCATAACTTTACCTGCAACAGACTTCTAAGTACCACCAGAAGAAGCACACGCACCAGCAGTCGCACCGGCACCCCAGTTTGAGAAGCAGAGTGATAATAAACTAATAGAAACAACAGTCAAAAGTAGGTTTAAAATGCATTTACCTTCATAAAATGGTCTTTGACAACAGCGTGTTTCAAGTGAGCATGTTATCCCCTGCAAACACAAAGCAGCCACCAGCTATTGTCAGACACAGAGGAGGAATCAGGACAAGCCTGTAGAGCAGCTTTCTGCCTATCAGCAACTGAGCCACAACATGTTGGAAATCATTCAAGGTAGACTTGTGGGGGTGGGATTTGGGAGAGGAGTGGGAGGGGCAAATGACTGCACCTAAATGATAGCCTCTTGACCTGCCGGAGAGGAGGATAACTCTGGACTAAAGTTGTATTCAGTAGATTACAGAGTTTTTCTTGAATATTCAAAGGGAGATACAAGAATGTTCTGTTACTTTTTAAAAACTGGATCTTTGTAGCATTTACTATCTTTGCTTGGCAGTGAATAGCTTTTGTAATCATTCATACTTATGCTCAACTTGATAACTACCTCCGCCAAGGAGGTTATGTTTTTGCCGGCGTTTGTCTGTTTGTTTGTTTGTTTGTTTGTTTGTCTGTTAGCAACATAACTCAAAAAGTTATGGACCGATTTTGATGAAATTTTCAGGATTTGTTGGAAATGTGAAAAGGAAGAACTGATTTCATTTTGGGGGTGATCCGGAAGAAATCCTGGATTCTGGATCACTTTGAAATTTTAGTTAACATTGTGGTAAATGGGGCCAAAAATTTTGTTTCTCAATATCTCGGTTAATTATTGACCAAACCCCATGAAATTTGACTCAGGGATGGACAATGGGATCCTCTTTCATATTCCAAAGGCTGATCCAGATCTGATCCAGAAGACTGATTTTATCGCAATTTATATAAAAAATGGGGGTAGTCCTTGGCGGAGGTCTGTACTCTCTGAGTGCTTTTCTAGTTCTAATTAAAAGTGCACTATTTTTCTGTTTTGGTAGCGGATCCTAAACATAAGGATATTATTGCCTAGAATGTTCCACAGTATTAGCCTTCGTTTCACTTCATAGAAACTGTCTGACCTCACAGTTTCGACGGTAGGTGGGTACTTTTAATATTTTAACCAATCACTGCTATTTAGTCGTGATGTATGTAATGCGCCGCTAATGGGCTAACTGGTATATTAAGGAAGAAGGACAATAACGTCTTTCCCCTTGATGAAATTCACCGAACATTCTCTTTATTCTGGCTTTAAATCCTCAATCTCGGGAATCGTTGACAACACTAAATATATGGCTTTTCGCTGATTGGCTGGCGCCCAAACTTGCACTTCTGGGGGTTTTGCAAACCGTATTCTGATTCCTGACCTAGTCGCTGAGGAGAAATAAAATTGAGCGGAGACACTAGGTGGCGCCAGCCTGACTACCACAGTACAGCATTAAGCTTATCTATCTCATGAAGACAAGGTAAGCTCTGTAGAGAAGCCCCACTCACAGTAAGCTTGCATGTTTTTCATCGGCATTTTGAGTAATTCATACACCTGTAACACAATAAATTCAAGATATACATGTTTAATGGAATACTGTGGAACATTTCAGATAAACCACAGCAGTAGCATATCCATGGCAACAAGCAAGTGACAGACCCTACAAGAGAAAGGTTACTTAGTCCACCTTTAAATAGACCATGCATATATGAATCAATATTGTTTACAAAAAATAACAGATAAAACATGTTATTTCGAAATACCAATTTTTTTTTGTAAACACGCTGGAAGTGGACGATGTCCTGTCAGAAGATCATTAAACAGACCAAAGCAGCACATTCATTTCTACTTTAAGATATCGAAATTATTTTACAACTACGATTAGAACTGAAACCATAACCACACTTGCTTGCTGTTTACTTATGGCACAGCACATTATACAAGCAAGCTGTGTGTTTAAAATAGGAGCTAGAGTGAAATGAGACTTGTAAAGCCCGCTGTCTCTTTTTTGATGTTGTTGTGCTTATCGCTCTAACAGGGATTGCATAACAGCTCCCTTTTGTTCTAATGTGATTCCTAATAGACGCATTTGTGGGAACAGTTTCCTGGTATGTTCAAAGTAGTACCATATGTCGGGACGCAGGCTACAAACATGTCGTTTAGAGCTTAGTCTAGAGTGATTGATGGAGGATGGAGTTGTGTCTGGTCCACAGTTTTAACACTGGACAGGCATGCAAAGTAACAGTACATGATGCTATTGCAAATATTTACTCTGTGGTGCGTCACGACTACATTTTTCATAAGAAACACTGTCATAGTAATTAAAGAAATGCTCATATTGTGAGACTTACGGCATGCTTAATGTAGGGTACATTCCTAAAACACAACCATATAAGGTAAACTAATGCAGAATACTTACTTTGAAATATATGAGCTTTCAATTATACCTTACATGGTTATTTAAAATGGTACACAGGAACTTCACTAGTAACAGTCCACTTTTCCGGACAATTAAGCTTATCATAGTCAATCACAAAGAGCTTTGGAATTCAAAACAGGAAAAAGGGCAAAATGAAAGGCAAGGGTTGTATTTTCTGTCCTCTGTGCCTCGGTGGTAATGATGGGACTTCCTGTTTTGAAAAAGGGGTTTAAAAGCTAAAGAATGTCATCAATTTGCCCACTGTTCCCATCAAATGACTAAAGGAGAGGCAGGATGTGGAGTTATGGGTTCAACAGAGCCCTCTTGAGATGGGCCTTGGAAGTGACAGCAGTTTATGGCTTTATTGCATACCTCGTACTCTGATACAGTTCAAGAAAATATCTGTGGATGCTGCAGTTCAAACCTATCTAATAGTTATATTATTTTTGTATTATATTATTGTATTATACTGGGTCATTCGATTCCACAGTTTGGGAACCACTGCTTTAGAATGAATGAAAAAATATGATTTTGAACATTAGTAAATGAGTAGGCAAAACTCATGACTTTATATAGATACAAAGCATGAATCAAGAATCATAAATGCAAATTACAGGGCCCAGCGCATTTCTGTGAACAATGATATAAAATTGAGACATTTTCACATAAACACCATATCGGGTCACATTATTGTAACTGACGTGGTCTACAATAATTCCCCAAAACTTGTCAAATTTATATTCTTAAGAATCTAGTTTAACTGTGTGTGACATTTTTCAACCATTGTAATAAGCTTTTGTTTTGAAAATACATCTTGCCCCAGCATTTTCAGAATCTGCTTTGGTCTTCTAAAGGAAGTGACTGAAATGACTAAGTAACTCGACCCCCTGCAGCGCTCTGGCCTGACCTCTGAGAAACTCCAAAATGCAGAAGCTCCGCTCCCTAGTCTGTCAGTGAATCCGCTGGTCCATGCTTTGGCCTGTAGGGTTGGCCCGCACAGCTGTTCCCCAACCAGATGTTAGAAGCTCAGAGAAGGATGGCAGCAGGAGCCCAGAGCAAGAGCTACCAGTCACTGTGAAGGAGCTGAAAAACACACAAGACATGTATTACTATAAAAGGAAAACTGATGTATTTCAAGTTGATTTAAAAGCTGCTTTAGATTTGTGATAAGATGGGTGAAGGCAAGGATTTGTGCAAGCATATTTAAAGTTGTGCATTACATTTTTGCCCAAATAAGTAAATCCAGTGCCATGCCCTATGCCCCAACAGCATTGCATTTTTCCTTTTCAACCGTACATTTGAATATTTTAGTATGATTAATATTAGTAGTGTTGTTAGGAAATGACACTTTGCTTTAACATGGGCATATAAAGAAAACAGATATACAGGCTTACTGAGAATAAAAGTGTAATGTAATAATCTAATTACCACTGTTGGGCAAGTTACTTTAAAACTGTAATGCGTTATTTATTACTTATTACTGTCATTTCAAAGTAATTCGTTACATTACAATATTACTGCATTTAAAATGTAAGGCATTACATTACTATTGCATTACTTTAAGTTACTCTCACCAAAATAACTGCGAAAAAGCTGAACTTTTGAGCCGTATATGGACTGAACCAGGACTAAACAAGGTCTAAACCAGGACTATAACAGGACTAACCTCAGACTGATTCCAGGACTGAAGAGGAGGACTAAACCAGAACTGAACTAGGACTAAAACAGGACTCACTGTCAGGATGTGCTCGAAGGTGACCGCAGGAGAAAGGACCGGCTTTGCTCCACACCTCATGGAGGTAAGAGCGGCTGTCGCCCGATCGCGCTTTATGGACCCTGCTGCGCGGGCTCACGGTCCTGATTTCAGCAACTATTTGCGGGTACAAGACCCGGTGCAAAACTCTGCTACAGCGCGTAACTTCTACCTTCCTTCAACGTGTCCAGAAGTCCAACTTTTTGTGCGATGGTTGCATCGTCCTCTGTCTTTTGGGTGTGAGCGCAGGAGACTTTGTCGGTGCAGAACCTTTCGTCGACGTTGTGGATTTTGTCGGAGAGAAAACTTGCAGACATACAGCACTTCAGAAGCACACTGCTAGAGATTGAACATTTATTTAAATTTGGCAGCTGAACATATTCTGTACTGTACTGTTCAGGAGACAGGAGTCCCTCAGCCAGTCAGGACACAGCGGGAGGAACGCAATACGTGTTCATACACTAAAAACAAAAGGCATGCAAAATTGCACAAAAAATAATTCTAAAAATCAGCGAAACAGCGAGACCGCGAAAAGTGAATCGCGTTAGAGCGAGGGACGACTGTAAACCAGGTCTAAACCAGAAGTGACCCAGGTCTAAACCAGGTCTAAACAGCGTAGAGTTCTGGGTCGGTCCTTTCGCCCGCGGTTAACTGAAGGTCTATCCGGCCGCGTCTCCGGCGTTTCACCGCTGCTGATTTCACGGTGATTTTAGCGAATTTCTATGAAGAAAAACCCACCACTTCAATCCAGGTTAAAAAAGCATTGTAACGCGCGTTACTCATATTTGTACCGAGTAAAATATTACAATTTTTCCCCCTGTAATGCCTTACATTACTGCGTTACAGCAAAAATCAACGCATTACTGTAATACATTACTTTTATAATACATTACTCCCAACACTGCTAATTACAGCTTTCTCAAGATGCCTTTTTAATTTTAAAAAAATATATTTAAAACTACTTTCAATCTAATCCCTCACAAAAATATTTTGTTTGGTGAAAAATGTGGTAGAGTCGACCATCATCACCGTTCACCATCTAGCTTACTTAAATGAAGTACCTTCAGCTGGAAAAGCGCGACGAATGCGTAAATATGTGGCGGTTTTTTGTTGAGGAAAGACAAAACTACATTACCCAGAATATCTACTCGGAAATGATTCCGTCGTTTATTTCGGTCCCGCATCAAGACGTGAACCAGCGTGTGTCACACGGCAGGTTGGAGAAAACTTCTGCAACATCTCTCAAAACTACAGTAATTTGATTAATTATGACATTTTTAGAAAATGCTTAGTTCAGCAATTATTGTTTGATTGTAATCGGTGTTGTAAGTTGTAAGAGTTCGCTATCGGGTCATAGATTTACCACAGAACATGAGTGATGCTAAAGATGAGACGGACAAGTCCAATAATAAACAGAAGAAAGAAGGCAAGAAACGTCCTTTTGATTTCTCACTTCACCCCAAGCGCCACGTGGCTCTGAGATTGGCCTACCTGGGATGGGACTACCAGGGCTTTGCAGTTCAGGAAAATACAGATAACACAGTGGAGGCCAGACTCTTTGAAGCGCTCCTCAAAACAAGACTCATCCAGGACCGACAGAGTTCAAACTATCACCGCTGTGGACGCACGGATAAAGGAGTCAGTGCATTTTCTCAGGTCTGTGAATTTAGATTTAAAAGTGCACTTTAAACCGCCTCCTGCTGGTCTCCTTTGATGTATCATTGCTTTGCCTGGAAAGTTCCATAGTATGACTTTTTACATTTCTATATTTATTCCGTCAGGAGTGTTTAATTTCTCAGAAATCACTGAAAAGATTCATTCTTACTGTGAACATAGTTGCCTCTACACAGTTCTGATTTGAAACATGACCTAGTGGTGGTAAAATGTTGGTAAATGGTCAAATTTTTTTACAGCGCTTTTCCACTTTCAAGGCACTCTAAACACTTTACAACAAGGAACCACTCACCCACATTCATTCACACACATGGACAAGGACACAATGACAGCATTCATCTGTGGGAGCTGAAATTGAACCGTCAACCTGTGAGTCAGTGGATCAGACCACTCGACCAATGATGTTTATTTCGAGACCAGTGGACAACAGTGGACAAGCACCCTACCACCTGAACTACTGTCGCCCACTATTACAGGCTTGTCTACTTGGCGATGGGCGATAAGAGTAATGCCATATTCTGGAGCATGCCAGGCAAAGCAATCACATCCTTGTGGAGACTAGTGGAACACGTTACAGAGTTAATTTTTAAAATGACCTGAAATGATCCCAGATAGAAAGTAAATGACCTTGCATTATTCTTGTTCTTTTAGGTCATAAGCATCGACTTGCGTTCAAACCAGTTTTGTGGAGGACTGGGTGTGATAGTCCCTGAAAATGTGGATGTTGCGACTGCCAAGGACAAAGTAGCGATTCCAGAGCTTCCATATGTAAAGATGCTGAACAGAGTGCTGCCTCCGGACATAAGAGTGTTGGACTGGTCTCCTGCTGCAGTGGGCTTCAGTGCACGTTTTGACTGTCAGTCCAGAACATATAGATACTATTTCCCCAGAGGCTGCTTGGATGTGGATCTTATGGCTGAAGCTGCAAAAAGGCAGGTGTAATTTAAAGATGCAATGTGTATTTTTTTTTTTTAATGCTCTGCCTTCAATCTTCCACAGTATGGTGTTAATCTTAGCCTTCTTTTCTTATAGCCTTCAACTCTTCATGCATTCTTATTGAAATCTGACCTTTATATGCTCAGTGGTACTAACAACTTATCTACATGAAGATAGATTTAATGCCAAACTGTGGAACATTCAGGTTTAGTGGCATGATCTGTGTCAGCTGAAAAGCACCATGTCATACCAATATGATAGTTATGGTAAAATGACAGGGAAAACATGTATTTAACTTGTCAGTATTAATTTACAGATATGAAGGAACACATGATTTCCGTAACCTGTGTAAAATGGATGTTGGTAACGGAGTGCTCCAGTTTGAGAGGACCATTCTGTCTGCTTCAGTGAGACCAGCAAAACCACAGTCAGCCAACAATGCAGACCCATACGAGCTCTTTATCTTTGAGATTAAAGGACTAGCCTTCCTTTATCACCAGGTAAATTTTATTTTTTTATTTTTTTTTTAATTTCCACAAGTTAGGACAAAACCCCCATTAAAAGTATTTATATTGTGTTCATTCCTCTAGATAAAATATTTGATTATTAAAAACTTAATACAATGTTGTCTGTTTTGGCAGGTGCGGTGCATGATGGCAGTGCTTCTTTTAATAGGGCAAAAACTGGAAGACCCTAATATAATTGACCAACTTATGGATGTTACGAAAAACCCCAGGAAACCACAGTACAAGTTAGACATTTTTTATACAATTGCTATATTTTGTTGCTATTTCTTATTGATAATAATTTTCTGCACCTTTTCTAGCATGGCAGTAGACTACCCTCTTGTCCTGTTCGATTGTCATTTTGACGGTTTGAGCTGGACACAAGAGAAAGAGGAAGTGAGCTACACTTTGGCCACGTTACAGCAACACTGGACACAGAGTGCAGTTCGAGCCAGTGTCCTGTTTGGCATGCTCCAGGATTTGGAAGCAAAAGGTAGCAATTTAAACAAACCAATACTTTTTCTGCAATTGGAAAAAGTCCTGTACATTATTGCTTAAATTAGCAATTATTTTAGCAGTAGTTTTTTTGGTTTACAGTAGTTGACTATTCAAACAATAATTTCTGTTGCACTTTGATATTTCTATGCATTTTTAATCACATACATGTAAGAATCGGCTGGTTGAAGGATTCCAGATAGAGAATATTTATAAATGAAGTGTAATGTGATTTAATACACACACAATATTGTCTACTGTTTCTGTGATAAAACATCTTTTGGCATGTTTAAGAGATCAGGATATGGATAAACAATTATTAGAAGTAATTTCTTGAATAGTTGATTTGTCATAAGTATTCTGATTCATCATTGCAGCCCTAATATAGATGCTTGCTCCCCAGGTGCTGAGCCACCAAACCACTGCTTGCTTCTTGAAGGTTCGAGACAGAAGAATTATAAACCCTTATTAGAGCGCCCATGCTGTGAGAGCCTGGAGTCAAGGATAACTCATTTTGTGAAAAGGGGCAGACTGGAACGGGAAGGAGAGAACGGGGATGAAACTGTTTACAAAGGAAAACGTTCAAAACATTCGCATAATTCTTCCAGTTCTTCAACAGACTCTGGAAATAAATCATAAAGCTGCAATCTTTTACGATTTTGTGTCAGAATGCTTTCAAAGTATATATTTTAAGTTGTTTTAATTTCATGCAGCTCTTACTTTTGTTTAATGTGAATAAACAAAAAGTTGGGAACATTTTGTTTTGTTTTTTGTCGGAACTATTGTGAGCTATCGTAACAACACGGAAAGACTTTGTGGTTGCGCGTGGTGAAGCTATGAAGCTAAGTAGCTAGCTGTCAGTCGAGTGAATGCTAAAGTTAGTAAGTTGAATAACAAAATCACACAAAAGTACACGGATAGCCTAAGCTGAAACTCTCGTACTTAATTAGTTATGGCAGTGGTTGTGTTTGGACGTGTTGTTGATGTCGTTGTGAAATGAATTGGACTTCTTTTAGCTTTAGCCTGGTAGTAGCTGTACTGTACTGGGTGTTATACTGTACCAGCCCTGCAGGTCGAGGGAGCCTGCTTGGATTCCTCAAATAAAGTTGTTGAAGGAGCACTTTGCAGTTTTAAGGTAAAGCAACGTTAAAACTTGTACGTTGTGATCTAAATTTCTAACATAAGCTGTAAAACTAAAGTAAATAATTGACTGATTGATTGAGAAATGCCTGAGTGTTTTATGCACCCCCCTTATTTTTATTTTATTTTATTTTTTCGCGTGGCAAAAATTGGCCTCAAAAGCTATTATTACTTCTGTCAATCATAAATGTAAATTTCTGCAGCCCCAAGGCAGTTGATTATTTATGCAGCAGGGGGCGCTTTTTACTCTACGAACGAGTACATAGTGTATCATAACAGTGTCATTTTCATAATTTTGCTTGTCATCCCTGATCTGCATTTTCATCATTAAAGTTAATCTATTTAACTGTTAATACTCACCAATCAGTAAGCAAAACCTGGTAGTAAGTAGTATAGTAGAATAATTCAGGTGTTTATTGCTTTTTAGAAATGTATTGTTCATACTACATTTTGTGTCTTCGTGTTAATTGTGTTAAATAGTTTAATTCAGCATCTCTCCCTCAGGATGTTCCTGGTGGGGCTGACAGGGGGCATAGCCTCTGGGAAGAGTACTGTGTCTTCAATGCTGCGTGAGCTGGGCTGTCCTATTATAGATGCAGACGTTGTAGCCAGAAAAGGTAAGGTGCTACTTCTATAGTTGTGTACGCATTAGTAATGTTTGTGCACTCCGACATTTTGTATTAAAGCATCTGACCATATACTTGTGACTTAAAGTCCCCTAATTGCACATGAGAGTGGCTCATAGTCTAATGTCCTGTTACTGGAGCAGTTGTAATGGACATAAAGAGGTTGAGCCTTTAGGAGCTTGTTAAGACAAACCCTCAGCGACAGAGCACATGAATCACGGCTGTCTTTGCTGACTGGCGGCTAGTGTTTTACTAATGTCAGGATTAAAAGGTCACACAACTAGGTGAACAGTTATGTAGACGTATATGTGCTTGGTGTTTGCACATGTTGGTAATTATTCTAACGTATTGGTTTTATAATATATTCATTTTAGACTTTTAATACTATTCTTCTGTTACAGTTGTGGAACCAAATACCCCTGCCTACCACCGTATAGTCTACCATTTTGGCTCAGAAGTGCTACTGGAAAATGGAGAGATTGACAGGCAGAAGCTGGGTCAAGTCATTTTCAGTAATGCAGAGAAGAGGAAGCTGCTGAACTCCATCACGCACCCAGAGATCCATAAAGCCATGCTTAAACAGATACTGTTCTACTTCCTCCGAGGTGAGTGACAAGTCGTCTCTGCCCACTTCGTTAAAGCAGCAGTGAATGCACGGTAAGAGCCAGATAATTTGTCACAAAGGATTTGAAACACGGTTGAGGCAAATCTACAAATAATAGAAAATATATACGTTTTAGATATTGTTTTGAAACAGCGATAACTTTGTCATTACACAGCAACAACCCAGTCATCCCAGTCTCAAAGCTTGAAGTTTAGGTTAAAATGACTTTCTCTACACAAATAGTTTATTCTTGCAAAGTAATTAAGCTAATTGTGTTACATTTCAGTCCACTGTGTTAAAGTGTGTTTGCTCTAATTAAATCTGTTTCGCTGTGCTTCCCCTCCTAAGGCTACCGCTATGTGGTGCTGGATGTGCCCCTTCTCTTTGAGACACGGCGCCTCACTCAGTTTCTTAACCACACTGTCGTAGTTTACTGGTGAGCGCCTCATTTTCTCCATCCTCCATCATCTCCAGACTGTTTGTTTACAGGTGTCTGAATTTAAGATGATAAATAATAACTATTTTGTTTTTTGACACAATACGCCCATTAAACGTTCACTTTTCTGAGATATTGGCTGCATTTTCCAGTTGCTCCTTTCTCTTCCTTGTTAGCTCGACTCTGCTTCTGTATATTTTTTAACAAGCCTCTCTCCAGCAGCACCATAAATAACCACTATTGTCGGTTCCTTTTCAGTGACCCTGCCACTCAGCTGCTGCGCCTGATGCAGCGGGACGGTCTGACCCAGGAGCAGGCGGAGCAGCGTGTGGCCGCTCAGATGCCCCTCAACGAGAAGCGCGGCCTTGCCAACCACGTCATCGAGAACTCAGGCAGCCGCGAGGACACCCATCGTCAGGTCCTCAAGCTCCACACCAAACTGGAGGACTCCATGGACTTTCTCTTAGTGAGGGTCATCGCCATCGCTGCTTCTGCCAGTCTGGGTGGGATACTGCTGTATGCGGCCAAGATGTTATTGTCCTAACAGTTAATAGGGAAACAAATAGGAAATAAGTGATCAGGGCTATAAGGGGAAGCAAGGGTTAAGGCACTGACTACATTTTACTGTGAGATTAGTGTCAAACGCACCGCTGGTAATACGGATTTACCTACATTATTAGCATAACTTGCACTGACATATATGGTTTAGCGTGAAGGGGTTTACGTGCAATTTTGACAAACTGAAGTAGTACCTAACTTTTTCAGATTATGTTCACCCATCACCTCCAGTTACTTTTTTTTAGACAAATTGCCTTTTTATATGCACCAGTAGTGCATACAGTTACAAGCCACTCACCTTTGTTATATCATTAAAACCTTTTCAATTAGCTTGTATAGATGTACATAAAAAGCACCAATTATTAGAAAATACTGTATTTTATTTTCATTTTTAGTAGTCTAGAAGTCACTTTGGCACCTGTAAGTTTCTGCTCCAATTTTAATTATTAAGATAACCTCCAAAATCACCAAATGCCAGAGCAGTCCCCACTCATAAACATGCTAAATTGGATGAAATAGCAGCTTGTAGTGAGAGGAATCTTAATTGCTGCAAAAAGCAATAGTTTAATTTTTGGTGAAATGTCAAGATTGTGTTAATGACGCTAATGAAGACGAATGTATTAGACAATCTGTTTTATAATGGTTAAAGTATGGATTTCCCTGGGGATTTTATGATGTGATTTTGGACAAAGCTATGTTCTCAATGTATTCTCTAACTTGGGGAGTGGTACTACAATTTTATTTTCTTGCACACTCACTTGTAAGTTTTAAAACAAGCTGCTGATTGTAAGATAAATCAAACTCTAAATATATTCTTCTATATTGTCTCTTTATTTACTTGTAACACATAACCTAACAGTGGAAAAAAATCATTATTACTTTACACTGCGGTTATTACAGAGCACAATAGTTTACAAATTTGCATTTTGTTACTCATTGTAGAATATTAAAAAATGCATTTATCTTTTTTCATGGATGAACTCTAGCACGGAAGGCATCATAACAATGTTGTAAACACTGTGAAGTCCAAGTGTTTGCAGCTCTGTGAATAAAGGAAAGGATGGCTATTTTGAGGAATCTGTATCTAAAATATATTGTTATAAAATGTATTAGGTTATAAAATCTAGAAAATAGTAAACATAAAGAAAAACAATGAATGAGCTGGTGTGTCCAAACCTTTTACTAGTAGTGTAATATTTAAATCAGTAAGTCCTCCAGAAAAAGAAAAAAAAAAACACTTATCAGTACAATACAATTTCCATACAATCCTGACCATTTCCCTTTCCTTGCTCTGCCCACTTGAGCGTGAATGAAAATGTGCACCCATAGGAGACAGTGGTGACATCATGTTGGCACCGATCCCCCTCTGGCCTTCATGTGGCTCTCCTGGCTCCTACACGTCCCCCCGGTGTGGTCCCTGTGAGCGTCAGAGCACTGCAGAAATAATGTAAAGTGAAGGGCCTGCAGTGGGCGGGTCAGCCAACCACCGCTCCACAAATCTGACACATGATTCATCATACACAAACATCAGTGAGACAATGAGAGGAGCCTATGCATTTATGATTCACACATGTAGCAGAAAAGTCAACCCATTTAAAGAAAGGTGATGAATCAAGAAAGAAAATGTACTTAGATGTATGTATTTATTACTCAACAAATTACTCTGCTGGTGAAAGTTTTTCAGTGCAACAAACAACCGATGAGTTACACACATATAATTAAGATATTCATTTTGAGTAGATTATCTTAATATCCAAATTGCTGCTTTGTATCAACATTATAGGTAACATTTTTAGTGGAGGGTCTGCCAATGTTATGTTTTTATTCTTATCTAGAATGTTCCACAGTATAGATTAAACCTATTTATCACAAGACAAGCAGGTTACAGCACTACACTACATTACAATTCAGATCTGTGCAGATTTTACCCTATTCACAGAAGGAATTATTGTATTTTTGAGTAATAGAAACATCTGTAATGAATAAATACTAGATGTCATGCCATGGAACATTCCAGGCAAAGCACAGTGCACCTTTAAGTAATTACATAGGAAAAATAATGTAATGATAATTTATGGTTAAGGTTTGATTTTTCTAACATTACTGATCTGTAAATGAGACATTACAGATTAGAAATTTACACCCCCATAGACACACAGTTCACTCTATTCTTAGCTGTAGCCTCTTTTAAAGCTGGCTCCGCACTGATCCAGGGGGTACCATGCGTTTCCAAGCAGCCAGCTGTTGTATAGAGATTTCCAAGTGTGCGTTTTCTCAGTCTCTTCTTTCAGACAGACGCACAGAGGCCAGATGCAGGGCGACTATATCTGTACCAGAAAGTGTGAATGCTCCGGGCGCAGAGGGGTGGCGGCGGTGGAGAAGAATCGGTGTTGAATATAAATTGGGTTTCATTCTGCAGGTGTCAAGTGAAAAGGTGAACATCTTAAGTTGTCTTAGTGGTACTGCTGCCAAATTTACTTATTTGACTGACAGTGGCTCAGTGGTTAGACTAGTAGTCCCCCAACTTGAAGGTCGGAGGATCAGTTCCTGCTTGGACAAAGTTCTGTCATTGTGTCCTTAGCAAGATACTTCATTTCTGTGGGTACAGTAGAAGCTTATCATCACAGAGTGTGAAGTAAATGAATAATGACTACAGTGGAGCACTTTTACAAGGCTTTAAGGCGTATTACACACTGCGCACTATGTAACCTTTCTGGTGGATCACCTGTCCTACTGGTCTCCATGGAGATCTTATTTGGCATACCTGGAATGGTCCACAGTATGAGATTAAACCTATCCATCTCCATGAGTCAAGCAAGTGACTATCTGCAACTATCAGACAAGTTACATGTCAAATCAATGGAGAGGCTCAGAGAATGCAAGATAGACAAGTTCTTTAAGGCATGCAGGTGGAAAACCCTCCACCTGGAAAGTTACATAGTGCACATTTAAGTAAAATTTGAGAGTATACAGTATCAAAATAATACTACTTAAACTACTTTTACCAGTAGTTCCTTTTAAAGGCAGTTTTAAAAGCTATTTACGTCCACAGTTTTATACAAAACCTCATTCATCAAACTGTTATAAAACTGAATTATGTTCTCATATCTTTTTTTTTTTTACTCTGACCAATCAGATCAGACATTTGAGTGTGTGTGTAGGTTTAGAAAGGAGCAGAAACAACAGTGAGACAGAATGCTTTGGGGTAATAGGAACTTAGACAGCAATCACTAACTCACACTATATGATTAGGCTCAATTAAAATTACACATACAGGTTTAAAAATCTTCACAAAATAGTACAAATATCCCACCAAAACATCTACTCAATTATAAGAACTTAGTAATTTGAGTATTTGTAATTAGTTACCACCTCACTCACTACACTTGTATAAGAGTCTAACCCCTGCATGTGTGTCCTCTCTGCAGGAGTAAAGTACATCATTTGGAGCTTGTGGGGGGTAAAGTCGTCCATAATCTCACCATCGCGTTCAGGAAGATGTCCCGGGGCAGCGCAGTTTGTCGACATTTTGGAATCTCCTGTCTGAGTGGGTTTTCATCAGCTCTGTCCCCGCCTGCTGTCACCATCAGAGGTAGGAAGAAGAAGACTGTAAAACGAACACAACACAAATGTCTGGATACATTTATTATATGAGCAAATTTGGTTGAGAGGATTTTAACTGATAAAAAGATGATTTATTTACTTAAAGGGCCTATATTAGACTATTTTCTGATCTATGTCTCTTTACAAACAGACCTGGAGTTTTGTTTTGTGTTTTGTTTCATTCACACATGTTTAATACACAAACCCGGCACATTTAGGCTGAGTTCTTCTCTCAAACACTCAAACACACTCCTTTCCACCATGTGATAAGAGATGAAAAAATACGTGATCCACTGTGTTTTTAAACTTCATACACCTTAACTAGAATCATTTGGATAATTTCAGCACTCGAATATTCCAGTCTCTAGTGAACTACAGGTAAAAGGAGCTGCTAACATGAAAACTACCATTTCATGACATCACAAGGCGGTACAAAGCATTTAATAAAGAGCTACTCAAACATGTGTGAATGAAACAAAACACAACTCCAGGTCTGTTTTTGAGGAGGTAATAACATTATAACATGGCTTAAAGCTCACAAGAGTAAATTTTGCATAATATAGTCTAACTTGTTTGGTAATTTGGTAGTACGTAGTAGTTAATATCAATAAAACCATAATTTATATCATGATTTTCTTAGGACCAGATCACAGTTTTGATTGTATTTGAATTCACTGCCTTAAATAGATAACTAAAGTGATCTTCTTGTCCTTAAAGTCCACACTTCATTGTGATTGGTTAACCCCACCTCTCACTCATGCACAGCATAAGAAAGACTAATCAGTAGTTGCTCTAAATATTAGTACATTAATCATAGACGTTGTCATAGTTCTAGAGTTAATTCTAGCCCTACACCTCATATTAAAACCCCTCTCATATCTCTGCTTGAGTATGTTCTGTTAAAGTAACACTGTATTTACTCTAAAAATTAGTTACTAGTACCCATAATTTGTCTTCCTTTTCTGCAGTAATTGAAAGTCTAAGTATTTTTTTCCATAACTATTTGGATTTAAAATTATTGACTGAGGGCTAGTATTTTCTTGCTACACTGAGCATACATCCTGGAGGGCTTTGGCTGCTCTGTATTCAGTGAGAGTTGTGTGAAGCTTTTCAGTTGTTGATTTTCAGTAAATTAACAATTAATGCAAGTCACTCACAGTTATTTAGAATTACAGAGGCATTCACAAATTAAAATATGGAGTAAGACCAGTTTGCATTTAATATTGTTAATGCTTGTCATCTGTAGGAATCTAGTCAGACAGTTTTTGGACATCTTTTTACTGATGGTGGTTTTATGTCGTGACCAGTGCACAAAGAGCATGATTGTGTATGGATTTGCAATTAGGAGCAGTTCTCAACACAGACTAACAATTTATGAACTAAACATGTCGCCTATTTGAGAACAATTTGATTGATTGGACTCTAAGACACGTAAGTGCTTCAGTATGCTTAGGTAACGATGAGCAGACACTCTTCCAAGACACTGGCTCTGTCTCGTTGGTGATTAGGCCAGATTTAGATCAAACTTGAAAGTCGATATATATATATATATATATATATATATATATATATATATATATATATATATATATATATATATATATATATATATATATATATATATATTTAATCATAACAGATCTGTAAAAGTATTGTCTGAAAGTGAACTGAACTTGAATTCCCTTTGGAAAAAAAAGAAAGAAAGACAATTCTCACTTAACTGAAACAACGTCAGGATTTCAATGTAATTTGCACATTTGGAAATCTGCCACCATTTATGTAAACATGAATAATTAAACCTGCTGTCTGACACTTACAATAATAGGCCTATAGTGCCTACAGCAGAACTCACCTTTTCGTCTTATACCATTTATTTTTATTTTATTTATTTATTTATTTATTTCATGATTTTCAGCATAAACCGCAACCAAAAATCAATAGGACAAAGAGTCAAAAGAGAAAATAAATAAATAAATAAGTTATGACGCATTTACTCCTGAACTAGAGGATTCCTGGATCTGTAACGTGTGAAGCTTTTATTGGCTCATAGGAAAACCTAACTTAACTTGACTTAATTTATGAATCAAATGTAAATGAACATCAAACTAGATTGAAAAATGGAAGTAGTTTTCATTTTGGACAGCACTTGTTGAGTCCGCGTCGTATTCAGTGACAAATACATCCCGACACCACCGCGTATTACAACACC